GTATAAAATAATAGTTTTAAATTGGTCTTACTCCATCCATTTAGCTCTCGTCGTCGTCGTTTAGGCTGTTAGGAACCATCAAAATTAATTAAAACAATAACATACGTAATTATATTGACACATAAATTTCTTAAAATTTTAATATATTCATACCGTTTTCGCTCAGTTGGACAGGCACGGCTCTGGAACCGTCCCCAAGACACCGGGAATAATTTATTTCCGGAGAAAAAGTCAAAATTGTACTTACCTGTAGGTGCGGCTTTCGCAAGGGTAATTTATCGCACTTAATGTTTACCGTCTGCATCATAAAAATTTGCTGTTAAAAGTATAAAATAATAGTTTTAAATTGGTCTTACTCCATCCATTTAGCTCTCGTCGTCGTCGTTTAGGCTGTTAGGAACCATCAAAATTAATTAAAACAATAACATACGTAATTATATTGACACATAAATTTCTTAAAATTTTAATATATTCATACCGTTTTCGCTCAGTTGGACAGGCACGGCTCTGGAACCGTCCCCAAGACACCGGGAATAATTTATTTCCGGAGAAAAAGTCAAATTTTCGCCCGCCCGCCCTCCCGTTCTAGATTACTTAAGTAGACTTTATACCTGAGAAAATCTGAAATCGGAAATTCAATAAACTTTCTCCGGGATCTTGTCAGGCCCGACCTCAGTAGTCATCAAATCGAAAAATCTTTGAAAAGGGAGTATAAAAACGTACCAGGTGACGTCGTCAGGGAGCTGAATTGCAACAGCCTTATCTTATGACCTAAGGGATAAACGGGAAGACGACTTCCCCTATAGTTTTACAGTAAAATACAAGTCTAGTAAGACCCTTATATTATTATATGAGGATATATTGACAAATATAAAATTTATTTTAACATTAAACAATATTGATTGACACAGGCAGACACCTCTTATACCTATACATATAAGAGGACATATAAAACACTGTCATTTTTGACAATTATATTATATCCACACTTTTCCCACACAAAAAACACTTATATACTAATATACACTTTCCCCGCCAAAATGTTTGGGATCCGAACACCAAAGAAAAGGATTCAAGGAGGAGACATAGACCGAAGCCCACCACAAATTGTAGGTCCATCTCAGAAGGAACTACACGTCATAAGCAAAGTGCGGAGAAGCATTGGAGAGTGGGAAAAAGATGGGAAGGAATCGGATCCCGCAACTCAGGGACGGTTGACCAAGCAAATCCCGGTTGTCCGTACAAAGCCAATAGCTGGCTCTTCGACAAGTAGAACATCACTCGAAAGGGAAGGGGGCTCACCAGACAAGGTGGCTCCTAAGTACGCAGATAGAGTTGCTGAAGCTAGAGCCTGCTTGAATAAAGCCAAGCTCTACCTCAGCAATTCCAGAAACTTGCGTACGGACATAAAAAATGAGGTCACACAGGCAATCGACAGGCTCTACCAGCTGGTTAAGGAAGCGGAGGCAGAAAGGAGACAAAAAGAGGCAAGTGAGGGAAGAAACAACCAGGATAAACAGGATAAAGAGGAAAACCTAGAAATCAGGATGGAGAGGGAAAAAGAAATAGAAGTCAAAGATAAGTTAATAAAAAAGATTGAAGAACACGAGAAAGTCATTGAAGAAAACAGAAAAGACATGGCAAAACTAGGAGACATGTTAAAGGAACGGGAAACTAGGGAAGAAAAAATGACCTACGCCAAGGTGACAGCTGGGACGAGTGCAAACATACCACCGAAACAGGTGGCGACACACTCGGTAGTCATTACATCGACGGATGACATGGATACAGGGGACCAGGTGGTGGAAAAAATTAGGAAAGCAATAAATGCAAAAGAAGAGGGGTTAAGGATTGATCGTATACGGAAGGCGAAAGATAGAAGAGTAATTGTAGGATGTAGCAGCCAACAGGAAATTAAAAAGATTATGGACAGAATAAACGAGGAAGGGACACATCTTACCGCGGAAGAAATTAAAAATAAGGACCCACTGGTAGTTCTGAAAGACGTCATGAGCTACAACACCGATGACGACATATTACAGGCCCTTAAGAAGCAAAACCAACATCTTTTAGCTGGAGTGAGTGAGGAGGACCTGCGCATGGAGGTCAAGTACCGGAAAAGGACCAGGAACTCCCTCACCTCGCATATTGTACTTAAGGTGTCGCCACGGCTATGGAGGCTCATGACTGAAAATGAAATAGTCCATATTGATCTCCAAAGAGTGCGGGTGTCGGACCAATCTCCATTAATTCAATGCTCCAGGTGCCTGGGGTATGGGCACACAAAAAGACTCTGCACCGAGCAGATAGATACTTGCAGTCACTGCGGAGGCCCACACCTCAGGGTGGAGTGTCCAGATTGGATCGCGGGCGAAACACCTATATGCAAAAATTGCACCAAGGACAAGTACGAACGTAGGGACCACAACGCATTCAGCGCTGATTGTCCAGTTAGAAAAAAGTGGGATGCCTTGGCAAGATCATCCGTGGCATACTGCTA